TGCCATCATGTGTTGGCCTGATTCACTGAACTCATCCAGAGGCTAATCTCGGAGTTCATTAGACGTTAATTTGACATTATTTACCGCAGCTTTGTGATATTATGGCATCATGAGATGAGATATACATCTGAACAAGTATGCAGCAAATTTAAACATTTTATAACTAGTGAAGTCAACTGTTACAGGTATAATAATAATCCAATGAATCACTTCAGACTCTATAGCCAACAAAGAAAGTGTGTACAATTTTTTTAGAGTCATTGTTGTCCTCAGCTCTCTTATCTTTAGCTTATGTTTATTATACAAAACAATTGTTAAATGTTCTTTTACTCCCTTAAAAGAAACGTGTAAAAAGGGTGTTTTCCGAAATGCGACTGAGTGCATGATCTAGTTTGTAATAACATATACAGTGCTTATCAAATTGATTAGACCACCACCCAATGCAAGGTTTTTGCCACAGCTGCCCTAAATTAACAGTATTGGTTTCTCTAATGGTTATTCCACACCAGTATGTGTAAGCTCTTTAGTCACATTAGTGTTTCTAATGCTAAAATATAATTATTGTTGGGATTTAATAGATTCAAAGATAGATCGCACAAAAGTTCAAAAGTAAGTCTTTGGGAACAACTAGAAACTCTTTGCAAGTCAGTAACAACAGAGACTGTGGAAAAGTACATAAAAAAATGGCAGCAAGAATGCAAGTCAAGGCCAACGGAGGACATACAAAATAAAAATAAAATACACATAATATAATATACTTACAATAATATACTTATACGTTTTTTGGTTGTGTGTGAATAAAGACTACTTAGTTGTTTCAGTATTTTGTCTCATTAAGTACAATAAAATCTTTAGTTTTAAACAAGTTTTTGAAGGGATGTCTAAAAAAAATGTAAGCACTGTATATACAGTAGCTACATAGTTTTGTGAGGATTTGAACTGAAAATCTTACAAACTCACTTGTTTACACTATGCCCCTTTCTTGATTGCCAACTGCTGAAATTTAGTGGATTCACACATCAATGAGTGAGTGAGTCACCTTTATTTATATAGAGCTTTATACAATACAGATTGTGTCAAAGCAGCTTTACAGTGTCAAACAGGAAAATAGGTAGTTTCATTTCGGCTGATCTCCTATTTAACTGTTTATCATTTTCAAACATGTAAACCAGGCAGGCTATACCTTACAGTGGTACTCAACACTGATTACTGTCAAACTTTTGAAATCCTTCATCACTTGAATTAATATTATATTTAAATTTTAAAGTAGGCATTGGATGCAAAATTCACTTTTACATGGTGTTTGCATATAAATGTATCTTAGCAGTATGTGGACACAACCACCCTACAATGATAAAAATCCATTCACTCCTTTTTTTTTAATCCCCCAAAATCCTAAACAGTCT